CCCCCCCCCCCCCCCCCGCTTCCCACCAGCTCCCCAGCACTGCCGCTGCCGTCTGCGGGAAGGAGCGGCCGAGCGGCACCGGTGCCGCCTCCCGGTGCCGGTGCGCAGCCCCCGGCGGCGTCCTGCAGGGACCGCTGAGTTCCTCCTTGCCCAAAGTGAGAGTTTATTCACGTCAGGCATTTCACAACGACACACCAAGGAAAGTAGGCAGGTTCAAGTCAACCATGAAATGGTCACTTTTTAACCCCGTCCTGTCCTCATTAGGGAAATGCTCAAACACAGCCCATTTTCAAAGAGGGCTCTTAATGAGGGGAGCTTGCCAAGTCTACCAGCTGCAATTCCCATAAATTTACAAACTAAAAGAAGCCGGGGGACGGGTGGGGGAAGGGGAGAGCCCATACAAGACAGGTAATGTCAAAGGAAACAGCAAGAGCCCAATGCGTTATTCCTTGCAGAATCCACGCCGCGTCCCCGCAGCTCAGTTTCTGGCTGTGCTTGCCTGGTTCCCTCGGATTTGCAGGGTTCTAGCAACAGCCACGGTTTTTCTCTCTACAGACTACATTGACAAGTGACAAGTTCAGAGCATATGCTTAGGCAAGAAGAGATGAGGCAAACTCGGGGTTAACCACAATGAGCAAAATTTATTTTCATGTCTGGTGTAGAATACCCCCCAAATCCTATCATCTTTTCCTTTGCCCAGACACTGCAAAAAGCTGATAACGCCAGCTTTAAATACCGGAGTTTCCCTTTGAATAAATATTCAATTTAAGTGGAGTTAATTTACCATAAAAGACATTCCCCTTGGCACAAATGCACTGATGTCCTTGAACACACCTCTTTGAGTGCTTGAACTCTTACACAAGCCATTACCACGGACCTGATTTAAAACCGTAATAACCCCTTTCTGTCCCCCTTCTCCCTTGCACCCCTCCACAAGGATCAGGACAAGACCCCAACACCATATCAGCAAGGCTGCCCCTGTGAGCTGCACAGATATGAGAAGTCTCCCCTCTCCCAGGCTGGGCTTGCAGAAGGCCCCACTCCCTCCCAGGTCCTGGCCAACGGACCACTTTGCACCAGGGACCCGTGCACTAAAAGCAAGAACTGTCTGGCAAGGTCCTGAGAGCAAGGACAAGCGAGCAGGAAAAAGTAAATGAAGCCAGGTAAGGGCAGACACCAAGCTGGGCACTTTCTGCAGCCCTTGCTACTGCAAGGGGGTGTGGAGTCAGGGTGAGATTGGGTTTGCATCCCCACAGGAGCCGGCTCAAGGTGGGTTTGCGTCCCTACCCAGAGCAGACAAGGTGGGGCTGAGGCAAGCCAGCCCTGCAGCATGTATCCCCCAGAATAGCGCTGCCAGGGATCACAGCAAAGCCAAGACCCTCCCCAAAGCCAGTCTGCTGGCCGGGATTGAGCAGGTCCCTCACGTGAAGGAATCCTGGGGGAAACAGAGCTGCCTGGCCAGCATGGGTCAAGCAGCACCTTGTCTTCTGCATGACCTAGGAGGCCAGGTGGGCATGGTGCAGGTTGCCATGGGTTTGCTTCTGGTTTGACCCACAGGCTCCCAGTGCATCAGTTAAAGCAGGCTGAACTGGGCACCCAAGATGCATGTTTTGGCTCTGTTCCTCTTGGTCAATCTCAGTGGGAACCCATTCAGGAAGGAGGGTTTGTCCTGGGAGAATCCCCCCCCACACACATACATACACACGTGTGCACATGCCTACACACCCACACACACACACACACCCCACCCTGGCTCCTTCACATGAACGCAAGCTAAAGATTCTTTCCAGAACAGAGAAAGAACTCCGTTAAAATAATAAAAAAGAACAACTCTACCACTTCCTTGCAGAGGAACATAAATAGGTATGTGGGAACAGGGTTAGCCTGGAGAAACATAGTATTAATGCAACAAGGACAGCAGCCACAGTGGCTGGGCCCTGGCATGCAGGGAGACCTTGTGGGAAAGTCGTTCAATTGCTTTCAAGTCCTGGCTTGCATTAACTCCCCATCCCCCTAAAAACCCCCCTCCCCCCCCCCCCCCCCAAAAAACTCTGCTACTGCTGCAAGTTCTCTGCCCTTGAAGCTCCAGGACGAGGGACAGTTGGTTTTGTCCTTGCTGCCAGAGCTATGCCAACCTCCATGCTGCATCTGGAAGTTCAGCTATCATCTCACTGTGGACAACTATAAAAATAAAGGTCACTATCTGACCTTGCTGGTAGGAGACACCAGGAGCTGTTTTCAACTCCTTGGGGTGGCATCGCCTGAGGGATCCTGCCCTCAGGCGGGATGTGATGTGAGCACTGATAACACACGTCTGGACACAGGCACACCTGGGCACAGGCACATGGGTGCTAGAAAACATGCAACAAAAACGCATGTTCGGGAAGAAAAGGCACCTTTCACACCAGTAAGTGGCAAATACTGAAGCTGGTGTGTGAATCACCCTCCCTGAGAGCCTGCACCCTCCAGAGGGGGGGCTGTCCCCATGGCCCCCCCCATGCCTCCCACCCGCCTCTGGCCAGGGTAGCTGGGATGGAGGGACATTCACTGCCCACGCTGCAGGATCTGAGACGGCTCATCTCAGGAAAGAACCAGAAAGGCTTTTTGACACCATGGGCAGATGGCCTCGCTCCCCACCACCCGCCCTAGCTCCCCAGAGCAGTTTTCTGCCAGTGGTGCAGATCCTGGTATGCCAGACTTGTGCTGAAAGCCTGGTTTTTCCCTCCCTCCCTCACAGAGGGTGCTCACACTTTACCAGGTGCCACAAAGTGGCACTGCCCTTGGACTTCAGAGGTAATAACATTAAAAAGTGGAAAGGCCAGTTAGGCCACCCATATCCTTCCTAAAGCAGGATCTCAGCTGATGCCCTTTGCCCGGACAACTGCTCAACTGTTTCAAGTTTTGGAGTGCAAGACTATCATTATGCATCAAAAATCAAAGAGAAAGGTATTGCTAATGCTGAAGCGTGCAGCCTAAGATTCTCTCAGGATGCAAGCAGGCAGTTTGGCTGACTATCTAAACATACACACAGTGAACTTCTAAGAAATCAAATTTTCATGAACATTCCAGTAGTCTTTTTGTGAAAATCAGAAAAAAAAAAATCATTCTGGCACACCGCATTTCATCTAAAAGACTCAATATCTGAGAATCAGCTCCAAAACTTTTACTTAAGAGGTCTGTGTGATCCAAAATACAAGCTTTACAGTGTTTTTTACACCTAGCTTAATAGCAATACCATTAACTTCATTTTCACCCTTTCTTAGAAAATGCCATTCACACACATGTCCATTAGATATACAGTTACTTAGGTACATAATACTACGCAGCACAGATATAGTATAGTTTATGTCAACTACATGTAACAAATAACTTAAACCATATTATCATAGTGCTATCTAATGGCAATTCTATTGGTATGACTCGTCTTCGTGCCTTGCAAGACTTGTACCATCATATTAAACTACAAAGTAAAGTTTCACATCTTTGGCATAATCAGAGCCTTGGTCAGTTTTCTGATGTACAGGAGTACTGTGTGCACATACAGATAGATATGTACATATAAACATACGTATATGCACAGAAAGTTGGGTAGAAGACATTTAGGGAGCAAACATAACAAGTTAAATAAGCAAACTGATAATAAATTGGTTTATGGGGTCTCGATACATTTCATATGCAGCTGAATCATAAGGTATTATGATGTAAAATGCAAACAGCAATCAGTATAACTTCTAAGTTGGTGTAGTATCATACCTATAAATATATGTATCACAATATTTACTAGCACTCCTTTTTTGTTTGTTTCCTGGTGATCAGAAGAAATGCACGCTGTATATAAGCTGTGTGTATGTATGTTCAGACAGAAAGTGTGCATAGATACAATCAAAAGTAAAGAAACACACTATTGACTCTATACAGAGACACACATACATATGAAGGGTGTGCACACTTGACCCCTGTCCACATATGGTTTGATGGGGACTATAATACTTGAGCTTTCCACAGCTCCCAGACCAGCAAATGAAAACATCAAACCTCAAGTGTAAAGCTGTAAACCACAACGTTTTGGGTTACACAACTGTGCAGTTTTTGTCCTCACTGCAGGTCACATTCTCAGCCTTACAAAGGCTTGAAACCCTCTTACCCCAATACAGTAAATTCTTTTAAAATTCACATTGGCTGATCTTAAATGCCCTGGACATAAACAGCAATGACAACAACAACAACAACAAAATCCCAGCACCATCTTTTCTGACAGTCTATATCACTTGCCAGATTTTGAGAATATTGGGGGAGGGAGAGGGGGGAAGATGGTGTCTAGAAGCTGGATTTAAATGTCTGCCCAAATTAGAATTATAAAAGTGCTTTATTTTTTTCTTGTGATTCAGACTTAAAATTATACGCATTGCAGCTCAAAACCGCTTCAGAGAATGTTATGAGTTAATCTTGTGTGTTTTGGCACCTTTTCCCTGCCAGCTACTGTACTTAAAAAAAAAAAAAAAAAAAAAAAAAAATTGGAGATCTTGTCTGTCCCGTCTCAAGTTCAATGGCAGCGCTTTCCAGCAGCGGGAGGAGAAGATGGCCATGTTCGCAGCCCTAATAATAATTCAGATCACGCCACATCGGCATCTTGTGTCAGAGTCGAAACTGGCTTCCCCGCCCCCTTCAACCTGAGAGCTGCCAAGTCCTCACACACTCCGCATTCAACCACAACTTAATGGATGGGATATTGTGCATTAAAATGTGGCCCAGACACACAGGCGAAGAGAGG